TCTCAGGCAAAAAGCAATAAAAGAAAATGGTACCCACCGCCATGATTCCTGCAAGAACAAAAAACATTCCCCCAAACGTAATTGCTTCAGACAAACTTAAAAATGTCATGGACACAATCCCACTTACAACCCGGTTCACCGATATTGCCAGGCCCGTCCCTTGGGCCCGCAGTCTCATCGGAAATATTTCCGACGAGTAGACCCAAGTAATAGGCCCAAGCCCAATAGAGAAGAAGGAGACATCAGCACAAACAGCCACCACGCACACCGCAATGGCCCAAACTGGTTTGATTTCAGACGTCTCGAGATACTTTGAGCCCAGACCCAACATTGCTGATGAAACTGTCATCCCCGCCGAGCCCAGTAACAGCATCGGCCGCCGACCGAACCGATCCAGGAACAGAGATGAGATGAAGACAAAGAACGTCTTGGTGAGTCCCATGATGATTGTGACTCCGACCAGCTGCTTCCTGTCGTGAATACCGGCGTCTCTAAACACTTCTGGGCTATAGTACACGACGGCGTCGTTTCCGGAGGCCTGCATGAAGAAGTTGACGCCGATAGCGGCAATGAGAATTCGCCGGATTGGTGGCGACGGGTGGAGAAATAACTCTTTCCAGACACCTTCGCCGCTCCAATTGGAGGTTGAAGGTGGTTCTTGTCCCGAATCAACCGCAGCCTTCGCCATTTCGTTTAACCTCATTCTGGCTTCTTCTGCACCGCCGTTGGATGTCTTGATCAGAACTTGCTCTGCCTCAAGAAATCGCCCTTTCATTACGAGCCAACGAGGGGACTCCGGCATTATAATTACACCAACCGCGACGGCTAAGGCTGGCAACGCTGCTAATCCGAGCATTAGTCTCCAATTTATGTTCTCCGGAAGACTTGACAATGCATAATTGGAGATGTAACCGAGGAGGATTCCGATGTTGATAAAGACTTCAGGGAGAGAAGAGAGAAATCCCCGAGTCATAGCAGAGGAGAGCTCGGTGGTGTAGACAGGGCCGATCATGAGGGAGTAGCCAACGCCGATTCCGGCTACAACCCTACCGGCCATGAGAAAGGAGAAAGACGGTGCTAGACCCATGAGAAGTGCCCCAATCAGAAATGTGGCTGCTGCCAGAACAATAGTGTACCGGCGGCCAATGCAATCGGAGGTCTTGCCGGAGGCAAGCGAGCCGATCAAAGAACAAACGTTCAAGCATCCCACCAAAATCTCCACTTGGGTTGATGAGATTTTCAGATTATCCCTGATGTAAAGCACCGCTCCACTCATAACCCCAATATCTGAAAAAAAATGTATACAACATCAGAGATCGGTCAAAAATATCAGTATTAGGTCTGTAAATTTTGTCTTTTCTTGTCGGTTGTAATTCTAACGCAAAAAAAGGTAGGAAATCTTGCCGTAGCCAAGAAGAATCGAATTAGTGGAGGCAAGAACAGCGGCGGCCAGAACATATTTATTGAGACGATGAGGAATTCGGCGGCGAACGGAGGTGACTACTTCTGTTGACTTGTGTTGTTTTCCTTGTGTTGTCTCATTTTGGAGATTGGAAGCAGAGGGAAGATGGTAATAACGGCCTTTGTCGTCTGGTTCCGGCGGAGCAGAGCTGTAGTTCATGTTAGAAGATTGAAGAGCGAAATCTGTGAGGAAAATTAAGGAAAAATTGAAAGCAGATCCAGTTTCAGAAGAAAACAAAGCAGCCAGCTTAAACACAATTAATCACGGCTCGCTTGTTGTCTTACGTAAATTATGAGGTTTTCTTACATGAGTGCTCCTGAATGTTTTGTTCATGGTTCAATTACGTCCTCAACTTTTT